TAAAGTATAGAGACGGTAAAAAGAACTTAGCTGGAGCTTACCCTATCATCCTTGGCCGCCAGTTAGGCCCTCTTCTTTTCCAATTGATCCTTCCGGATTTGAGCAGCAGATTTAGCAGGCGTCTTCTAAGGACGCACCATCTCTAGTCTCTCTCTGCAAAAAGAATCAAAAAGTCAAATGCCATTCAAGAATGATACAGAAGGCATAAAGTCAACATACGTCTGCTAAACATTGTGCTAAGGCCACAGGCGGAAAGGAACGCCTCATCCTTTAGCTAGTCCGGATGGGGTACCCAGTTTTTGGGTACAATTATTTCGGACCCGTCCTCTAAGGGCATGGTGGTCCTTTAGAAGAGTCCCGCCTCCATTATATGCGTCCAGGCCTCCTCCGGCACGCCGGGAAGGGAGCATTTTTTCCCTAGGAGAGCCGGCTGGGTATTATAACAACGAAGCTGACGGTTCAGGCGAAGGGAGGGGGAGGAGACTAAAAAAAATTTGTTCTTCCAATTACTCCATTTTGACGGCTTGTCAAGCGTCATCATATATTCTGGGTGTGTGGTCAATGTATACCACACCCTCCAACCGCCTAGGGCACGACTAAGGTAATGCATATGTGCAAACGCCTCCCAACTAGGCCCGTCACGTTCTGCATCTTGCAAGTGGCATTATATCCAAATACGTTCACCCAAGAATTGGGTGTTAACTGCCAGACGCCCAAATCATAGTCCCTCAATATAGCTCTGATGGCGTTGTGAAGAGGGAACCGGAGGCCGGCTTTAAATGCCGCCTCATAGCAGCTGAAATAGTTGTCGGCGTGATCGATGTCATCATCCCACACAACGGTTGCCTCTGTAGGCGGTACTATAACCTCCCACCTATCCCCAACCGGGCACTTCTCAATTAAGGCGGGGTAGGTGGCATTTAGGGTAGTAATGTCCCTGGAAGACATGCTCGCCTCTGTAGGATTATTGATGGAGGGAAATTTGTACGCCTCCTCCTCCCCCCGGAATTCATCCGGTTCTAATGATGTTGACTCCCCTAAGTCTGACTGCTGGACAGTATCATCACCGCCTAACTCCTTAGTCTCCTCCAATATGTCATCACTTGGGGTGTTGGGAGCGCCTAGAGGGTCATTATGTTCTATGTCATCCGGCGCTTCAGCTGAGTCGTCTGATCTGTAGTCGGGGTCAACAGCCGTCAACTTCGTTCAAGCCATCCTATCCTGCACATGCATAGAGACGGTAGGATTCGTGGAAGAGAAAGGGTGGTCCAAACACCCCCAGATGGTTTCCCCTGTCCTAGACTCAGCCGTATCAGGTGACCGGCTGACAACTGTCCTAGGCCGTGCCGTGTGTGTGTTGGGTGAGTCCATTATTCTTTACAAGCTATACAACTGGAAAAACTCAAAAAGTTGCAAGGGGTAGAGCCGGTACCTCGAAGAAGTTTTGAGTTTGGAGGAGGTTAACTATCTGGATTAGCAGCCGGAATCCTCTTTGTTGCTTGCTAGATACCTAGACGGTTACCCGGATGTACCCTCTTGAAGAGAAACTGAAAGTTGGAGAAAAAAACCCAGACGTTCCCCTGAAGATTTGCTTGAAGATACCCCATACGGTTGACCGGCTATGGGTGTATTGAAAGCTTGGAGGATGTCAAGAGACCCTCAAGCGGTTTTGAAATGTTTTGAATGAAGAACACTCAGACAGTGACCGGTTGAGTGAAGAAAAGGCAGACGGTTGTGCAAGAACTAGCAGCTTGTATTGGAGTTCTCTTTCTCTCAGAAAAATTTCTCAAAAAAAAATTGCAAAGTGTGAAAATGAGAGGAGGGGGGTCTCTATTTATAGAGAACCACAGAAGGCGAACCGTCACCTTCCGAATTCAACTTCAAAAAAAAAAAAGAAAGAAAAGGAGACGAAACGTCACCTCCTCAGATCATGACGCCTGTCATAGGTGCCACGTGGCAAGCCACGTCACACCTGTGAGGGGAAAATTTTTAGGGTAAAAATACCCGGTCCACGTGGCCTAATAACATGCTGACACGTGTCAGCATCAGAGAGGTTCTAGAAGAGCCAATCCTCTGATGACACGTGGCACTCCATCCCATGAATGGAGGACTGACCCCCAAACACTATAAATAGAGGAAAAACCTCATTTATTACACATTCATAAATATACACACAAAACCCGAGCAATATTAATTGCAGAATTCTCTCGGAATCCGAGAGAAGAATCTTTACATTCCGCACTTTTATACATTCGGACACTATCTAACATGATCATCGGAGGCGGAACTCCACCCAACCGGAGTTTTCGTGGTTTTGCATGTACAGACGGTTGGCATCCATTCTCGGAATTGTAACTCTCCCGAGGGACTCCAAAATCCCCGAAATAGATTCTTTAATGTCAAACAATACCTCGTATCTCACTGATTTGCCTCCTGGTTCAAAAGCAGTTCGGATGTAAATGGGTGTTTAAAATTAAGAAGGACACTAATGGGAAGATACACTCTTTTAAGGCTAGGATGGTGGCACAAGGTTTTACTCAGAAGGAAGGGGTGGATTATTTTGACACTTATGCACCGGTTTCTAGAATTACATCCATTAGAGTACTTATGACTTTAGCTTCTATTTATAGTTTGCATGTGCACCAAATGGATGTAAAGACAGGTTTTCTAAATGGTGACTTAGAAGAGGAAGTGTATATGAAACAACCTTAGGGTTTTGTGCTTCTTGGTAATGAAAGTAAAGTTTGTAAGTTGGTAAAGTCATTGTATAGATTAAAACAGGCTCCAAAACAGTGGCATGAAAAATTTGATTCTGCAATTTTGTCACATGGTTTTGATCATAATTGTGCAGATAGGTGCATTTATTCGAAGTTTACAAAAGACTATGGTGTCATTGTATGTTTATGTTGATGATATGTTAATCTTTGGCACAAATATGAGAGGCATTGATGAGACTAAAGAGTATTTAACTTCACATTTCAAAATGAAAGATATGGGTGAAGTTGATACTATTTTAGGAATCAAAGCTATCAAACATAGTGGGGGTTATGCATTGAGTCGAGCTCACTATGTTGATAAAATGCTTGGAAAATTCAAGCATTTGGATATCAAAGAGTTTAACACCCCTTATGATTCGTCTTGTAAATTAAACTTGAAAAGAATAATGGAAGAGCTATTGCTCAACTTGAGTATGCAAGTGCAATAGGAAGTTTGATGTATGCATCACATTGCACTAGGCCTGATATTACATTTGCTGTTTGTAAACTTTCTAGGTTTACAAGTAACCCTGGTGTTGAACATTGGAAAGCTATAAATAGGGCCTTTGGTTACTTAAAAAGAACTAGAAACTTTGGTTTGTACTATAATAAATTTCCAGCCGTTCTTGAGGGTTATTCAGATGCTAGTTGGATTACTAGTACTGGTGATAATAAGTCCACTAGTGGGTGGATTTTTATGCTTGGTGGAGGTGTTGTTTCTTGGGCATCTAAGAAACAGACTTGTATCACTCATTCCACAATGGAGGCTGAATTTTTTGCCATGGCAGCAGCAGGCAAAGAAGCAGAATGGCTAAGGAACATGTTATTAGATATAGAGTTGTGGCCACAACCAATGTCAGGCATTTCTGTGAATTGTGATGGTGAAGCTACTTTGTCTAGAGCTTATAATAAGATTTATAACGGGAAATCTAGACATATTATCGTGAGACATGCATATATACGACAACTAATTTCAAATGGAATGATAATTGTTGTATATATACAGTCTTCCAATAATTTGACAGATCCTTTCAATAAAGGATTACCAAGGGACATAGTGCATGCAATGTCCAAGGAAATTGGTTTAAAACCAATTGATTGATCAAGAACAACAAAAAACCAATCTTTTCTATAAAACTACCCCTATAATAAAGGTTAAATGTATAACAAGTTGTTCATTGATGGTATATTAACTATTGCTGAAATATAGTTAGTATATATCTGAGGGTGAGTATTAAACTCTTAATTAAGTTTCAAAGGTTATTTTTTGAACTTAACCTATATTAAAATAAGAAATGGTGTCGTTTCTAGCAAAGTGTGATTTCACTTTGGAGATGTCCATGAAGACCAGGATAACACATGGCCATAATAGTGCTACCAGTTTGAAGAATATTTGTTTTAACAAAAATGTGTGTGTAATTTTTTCGGTAATGACATTTGAGATTAAGGTTCAAAGCTACATGCTACCTTTAATTTCGTTGTTACTTTGAAAAGTTACAGTAGCTTAAGGTTCAAATCGATAAGATACCTTCATTGATGCATGTTTTTGTTGGTTTTAAACACTTACCAAATTTGGAAGACTAAGTGGGGGATTGTTAGAATTGTTACATATACACGCGCTCCATATACAAATATTTATTTTTACTGACCAAGCATTGCACTCATTGGAGGCAACAAACACTAATTAACTGCTATTAGCAGTTAATTATTATACACGTGAATGACTATCCGCTTCCTTATTTTTTTTATCCAAAAAATAAATTTATTAGCGGTTGTTTCATATTTGATTATGCAATTTTTCATTCTACAATTCACCCCGCCCTCTTATAGAAGTCATCGCACTTTTAGTCATACACCTCTAGTTCACTCAGTGTCAATGTCGTCTTTAACTTAAGTACTTTTCAATTGAAATTAGGAGTTATTACAGTTCTACGGATTATTAATGGTGGTTATATGTATGAAAATATCAAATATGGAACACTTTTCAATTATAAGGTCACTATCAATTTTTCCCTTCCCCCAAGAATGAAGTTAACACTGTCTTTCATAGTGTCAAAAATTAAGGATAATAAAATGTGAATAGAAAAGTTCATCTGAAATTTAAAATTCAATAGCATAAACATAATCTTGGAACATGAATTGATTATAGTAGTATTAGGAGAAGCACAATAGCAACAAGAAAATGATAATAACTAGAGAATCTTTAAGGCGCTTCTTTGGCTGATCATCTTGTATAATGCTCAATCACTTACCCTGCAATCAGGTACTAACATTATAATCAATATAGTGCGCTGAAGTAATAGAAATTGATTAGTGGCAAAAACAATGAAAAATAGTTGATTGGACATGCTTTATATTTGTGTACCTCTTTCAATTGGAAGTAACGCTTGTATTTGGGTTTGCAAAGGATGTTTCTTGCATGATATAGTTCGTTTAGAGCTTCCCTTATCTTCATTCGATCGTATGGAAAATGACTTGAGCAAGCAACTCCAACCTTTACGACAAACATCATGCACTCCTCTCGGTTTTTAAGCTTCACTTGAGTCATTGGTCTCGTTTCATCAGCTTCCTCACTTTCATTATCCTCCAAAAGTTTAGAGTCGACAATCTGCAATACTTTGTCTGGCAATGCTGCCTTTGCATACATATGGAGGCTCAAGTCTTCCTTGAACATATCGTTGGTGGGTCTCTTTCTTGTCATTAGCTCAAGCAGTAGAATTCCGTAACTGTAGAGATCGGCCTCGAGAGATGCTTCATTTCCCAAGCCATACTCTTGAATGAAACACAAACAATTTCCATAAAAAAGCTTATATCCACCAATGCAAAAGAATATTAAGTTTCATACCTGCTTATAATCTGTTATGATTTACCCTCATCTATTTTTTTTCAATTCTAGCACTATGACTAACATTGAGTTTTATGCAGCTAATTTCAATTTGTTAAAATATTGTGCATGTGGGGGTTGTTGCGAACGAAATTATAAAAATGACATACTGTTAAAAAAAAAAAAAGTGATAGTGGGTAAATAGTTTATATAAATGTAAGGGATGTTAGAGAAAAAATATATTTAAAAAATGCGAGTCAGGACATATATGAAGAGAAATATTATAGAGATAATAAATAATATTTCCATTTAAGGAAGTGTTGCATTTTAAAAAAAGGCTGATTATAATAAGTGTTGCAACTAATAAAATATGGAGCCAATGCACATGATAATTTATGAATTCTTTCAATTTTGTAGGAAGTATTAGAAGTATTAGAAATACCATTTTTACTTCAATTATCCTGCAATTATATTAGAATAAACTGTAGAAACCATTGTTGTAAATCACATGTTAATTAATTGATTAAGATGCAATTTAGTGGAAGAAGATTGCCCCTAAAAAAGAAACTTGTAGTGATAGTGTAGAGTTAATTACCTGGAGCAACATAGCCAACGGTTCCCCTAACGCCAATTGAACTGCTTTGGTTTGGGTGAAAGGGCCGATCTAGGACCTTTGCTAACCCAAAATCTGCTACATGGGAAACCATGTTATCGTCAAGTAGTATGTTGCTTGGTTTTAGGTCACAGTGCACAATCGGACTATCACGCTCAGAATGGAGATAATTTAGTGCATGTGCCACATCAATGGCTATATCCAACCTTTGGAGAAGGCTCAGATTTCCATCTTCGTGTAGCCATCTCTCAACACTTCCGTTGGGCATGAACTCATAAACAAGAGCTTTGAATTCATTTCTCTGAAAATCCATACTTGAGCATACTGTTAGTATCCCAACCAAATTACGATGACGGATATTCCTCAATGCCTCACACTCTGCCATGAAACTCTTAGACCCACCTCTTTGTTGCAAGTTGAGTACTTTAATGGCAACTGTCTTTCCATCGAGTATTCCTTTAAAAACAGACCCAGAAGTTCCCGAGCCAAGCAAATTTCTTGAAGAAAATCCATCAGTTACTTTGAGTAGCATGTCGTAGGACACTTACAAGAATGATTCCTTCCGTAGTGTGTTGGATGAGGTAGATTTCCTTTTCTTGCTATGACTTTTCAAGTAGAACCATATGCATGTGGCCATGACCAATACCCCAACAAATGCACACATTATGATAAATGTCATCTTGAGAGCATGAGATCTTCTTTTCTTCCCCTTTTTCTCCGCACAACGCGGTAGATGCAGCTCCAAAATTCCGCCACAGAGCTTACTATTGCCATCCAGAAATATTGCACTTGCATTTGCAAATACTCCTTTTGTTGGAACACTCCCCTCAAAATCATTATGAGATAAGTTTACAAACAATATCATTGGAAGGGTAGAAAAATATTCAGGAATGATGCCAGAAAGATTGTTCTTGGAAAGATCAACTTTTAAGAGACTTTTCAAAGAGGCGAATGTCGTAGGAATTGAACCATGAAACATATTATCACCCATACCCAATAATTCAAGACCAGGCAGGCCACTAAAGACATCTGGAATTTTCCCTATTAGTTTATTTTTATACACAATAAATTTTATCATGTTGATCTGCTTATTGATCTCAACAGGTATGGGCCCTTTTAATTGATTATAAGCTAAATCTAATGTAATAAATTTGGCATATCCTCCAAAGAGATTCTTAGGTAAGGGTCCATTGAAATTATTAGCCGATAGATACAAATATAACAAGCTTTTACAATTGCCAAGGCTTGGAGGTATTCTGCCTTCCAGATTATTATACCTTAAGTTGACTCTGCTCAAATGCGATAAATTTCCGATCGAAAAAGGAATTTCACCTGTTAATTTGTTGTTATAAAGATATAATCCTTCTAGCTTTTGAAGCTTTCCAATATCTTGAGGGATGGTTCCAGTGAGCCCAGTTTTAGACATGTCTATGATCCACTTAATTGATTTTGTTCAATTGCAAGGCAAGTTAAATTAGTGGAAAGATTGGCTACTACATTTGGCAATAATCCTGTGAAGTGATTTGATCCCAATTTTAGTACATGCAATTTGGTACAGTTAACCAATGTACTAATAAAAGAGATGTCACCTTCAAAACTATTGTCATAGAGGCTAAGCCATTGCAGGTTATGGAGGTGTCCAAAATGAAAATTGGAAATGCTACCTGTGAAGTTGTTACTACCTATTTCAATGAATTGAAGACTAGTGAGGTTTAATAAGGAGATTGGTAATGGTCCTGACAGGCGGTTATTAGAAAGTTGTAGGACTTTTAATTGAGGAAGTGTGAAACCTATAAGCGGTGGAATTCTCCCCTGTAGTTGGTTGTTAGTCAAATCTATTAATTCAAGGAAGGATAGGTTGAAGATGAATGGGGGAATCATACCAGTGAAAGTATTGAAGGAAACATCAAGAAAGTTGAGGCGAGACAATGCTCCTAATTCCATCGGAAGTTCCCCATGTATTTGAGGTTGGACAGTGCTCCTAATCCCATCGGAAGTTCCCCATGTAGATTGTTGATAGCTACAGAAAGATTTTGTAGGTTGATGCAACTTGAAATGTTGGCCGGAAATTCCCCACTTAGAGAGTTGTTGTTCAAATATAGTGATTGTAGCCTAAACAAACGACCAATCTGAGGGGGAATTTGACCTTGCAAACTATTATTGCTAAATCGAATCAATCTTAGGAAGCTGAGGTTTCCAATGAAGGGAGATATGGATCCTCCTAAACCCTTTGCAGGTAGTTGCAACTCTGTGACTTTATTATTATGTATGGGCCCACAAACGACGCCCTCCCAATAACAATGGTGAAGAGAGTGATTCCATGACCTCATAACACCATTGTTATTAGGACTACGATCGATAAGTTTGCTCTTAATGGCTAACAATGCCATGTAATCAGTTACATTCCCTCGATAATTAGTGTTATCGAGGGTATAAATTGTAGTGAGTTGTTGCATTGTTAAAACAAAAGGCAACAAGAAAAGTGTTGGTTGTATGAAAAACAGGGGATGGGCTGCCTTCATTTTGTTTGTTTTCATTCTTTTTTTCAGGTTTCGTTTTTGTGGTGCTTTCTAGCTTTAATTCTCATCTCTTTATATAGATTTTAAAATCCCCCCTGCTAGTCTACTACACGCGTGTATAGCAATATTATTATTTGTTATAATGCATAGCAAATATCGGTATTGCAAATTATATTAGTAAATAGCTGTTTTTTGAGAAATGGTGCAATATATTAAATTTTTGTAGTGGTTAATTGAAATATATATCACCGCCATAATGTTATAATGATTATACAATTTATGATTGACTTATTTTTCTCTAAATAATAAATTGTATTTCTTTATTTTTGGTATAAAATAGTATTATCAACATTTTATTTATTTATCAAATTTTTAGTTTCATTATATAATTTTAATAATTATTTTATGATATCTCAAAAAATATTTTTTTAAATTAGATTAAAATTTACGACGAGCCGTATTTATCACCACAGGACCAAGTACAAAGTAAGACACGTGATATTGACCGACACAGCGTTTTACCTCAAAAGCTTAGTTTGGTAAATAGTTTTGCCACGCGTCTACTTTCGTTTTATGTTTCGTAATTAAGCTTAGTTTGGAAAATCGTCTGTCAAGGGCGATGACCCATTAAGGTCAACACACACATCAAGCCTAATATCTACCAAATAGCCCTTATCTCCTAAGTAAAGTAATACGACTGCAGGACATATAAGGCTTGTCATGTCTACCACATAGCCTGATATCTACCTATTTACATGCAGAGATCAAAATTAAAATGAAAAAAAATCAGAGAGAATAAAAAATGGGGTTGCTTGACTCAGGTCAAGTCGTTGTCCTTATATTGTACGGTGTTTTAAATTTGTAATACTCACTCCAAGTCATGTGTAAGTCAATCTATCTTCTTGTGTAGAAAAGCTTCTCCATGTTTATCAAGTATCGTAATTGTTAAGTTAATACTTTGTTTTTTGAACCAACGTTTTAATTTTCAAATTATTAGTCCCCTTTATCTTACATATTTGAAATACAAATTTCTCATAGTCCGGAAAATTTTAATTGAAAGTTCAACAATTTCTTATATACTTTTTTATACCTACTTCGCTCTAATAATTGATAAGTTATAATTAGATATGCTTTAATTCAAGTAGTATAGTTGATAATTAAATGATGAGATCGATGAAATTGTATATTCCTGTATAGTTAGAATGAATTTTAAGCAGAGCATTGAGAGCAAAGAAAATTTGAAGGAGATGATTGTATATTGGTGAGAAATCTGAAAATGATTGGGATAAGAAGATTCTTTTTTATACTACGTATTAATATTTTTTTTGGCAAATGGATATTGTCATATGAGTGATGACCCGTGAAGTAAGGCCAAGTATATGTGTTTTTGGTTTGTGTCTTGTTTTGTAAAATCAATTAACTAATAACGCTAAAATAAGCTAAAACAAAAAAACCAAAAATCAAAAATGATTTCAACGAGCCCTAAGTACTCTTACATTGCAAAATGTTGATTTTCTGATGAAGGAAATCAATTGAGAGAAAATAAAGAGAGAAGAATTTGGGGAAAATTTTATTGTATCTGAAATCAATCAATTCTTACAGCAGCTAAGGCATATATATAGCCTGAGATAATAACTTAGAGTTTGTTACAAACTCTAACAAACTAATGCTAACTCAGCTTACAAGCATAACAAACTTGTGTAACAAACTTATGAGAAAATAAAAGACTAACAAATTCATCTAAGTCAACCTGGACAACCATGATTAGAATCATGATCATCAACACCCCCCTCAAGCTTGAGTATGTAGAAGAATGAGATATACCAAGCTTGGATAAAAGATAAGAATGTTGAGCTGTATGTAGGAATAGTCTTTGTCAAGATATCATCTAGCTGTTCATCTGTAGAAAGATAAGACAGCTCTAATAATTCTGAAGGAACTTTCTCTCTAGTAAAATGACAATCCAATTCAATGTGTTTAGTGCGTTCATGAAACACATGATTTTTTTTAATGTGAATTGCACTCTGGTTGTCACAATAGAGAGAAACAGGTTATAAGTCAGTCAAACCAAATTCACCAAGCAATCTAATCACCCAAGTAACTTTAGAGGTTGTAGCTGCCATAGCCTTGTACTCAGCTTCACTTGAGCTTCAAGAAACGATACTTTGCTTCTTAGATTTCCAAGAAATAGGATATTGGATGTCCAAGTAACAAAATGTATCCTATGACAAATCTTCTTGTGGTAGGACAAGATGCAGACGACTCTGAGTCAGCTACCCAGACCTCCTTTCTTTTGTTCTTGTCTTATTTCTTTTTACTCGGTAAGTTTTGCGGAGAAGCTGCACTCTTCTCGCTACCCTTTCCCTGGTCGTCAGAATTTGTAAGCGAATTGAAATCTGAGGCTTCAATGTAAGCTTCAGTCTCTCGTAAAATTCCTGGGTAGGTCCGTACCTTCTTCCTAATGAGGTCATACCTGAAATTCATATGCCTACATTCTCGAAGAAACTTCATCCAAGTAGGCCATCTCATCTGATAATCCTTAGATCTGAGCTTTTTCCATGTGTTAACCTCTGAACATGGAACCTAAGTCCTTTTCTCCTACATACACTGGACGACTGTAGCTAAGTTCAAGCTTATCATTCTAGGCGGAATATTATATGAGAAATTTCCCACGAATAGAAAACATGGAGTAGTGAAGGAGTTAATGCATCCGATCGGCAGACTGTTGAACCGGTCTACCTTGTGCCACGCCCTTGAGAGTAGTCATCGGGAAATAATTGCACCACGTAGCGTCATCAACATTCTGTAATTAAGTACATCAATTTTCGATAGGAGGTTATGTGCTCCTCAGGGTTGCCCGTGCCATCAAAGGAGCCTACTAGCACACTTTAAACCTTGGTCGGATATGGGGCATTCAGAATTTCTTGAGAGGATAATGGTGGCGGCTTGTCCCCTAAAGTCAACAAGCACATTTGCCAATCAATATGCTGTAGTTGTGCCGCCTGCCTCCCTAGAAGACCAATCTGGTTATACTGCTGGTCGTTTGGACCATACGTATTTAGAGGAGGCAGCTGCATGTTGAAGTGTTAAAAAGGCACATGATGTTGTTGTGCCTTCTTCCCTAGGGGCCAATCTCATATGTTGTGAGGTATTGTTGTTGAATTCATCAGGTATTGTAGGAGTTGATGTCGTGTTTGAATAGTAAGAATGAGCTTATCGAGCTTGGCATTTCTTGGTACGGTACTCTCGAGCGTCCATTAGATGTCGAGCAGGTCTTGAGCATCATGGGGCTGCTTATGCTTCCGTACATATAGGCTTCCGGGTAAGAAAACCTACCGATTTTGATATTTTCAGCACCTTAGACCAGTTTATCCTAGGCGCCGCATGCTTCTTCTTGGTAAGAACATCCTCCACTTCTTCATTAATTATCTTCTCCTTGTCTTTCTGGAGTTTCTTTTTACTTGGTTCTCCTTCTTTTCTGGGCGGCCGCCTAGAAGAAGAACTAAGCATACCCTCAAGTTCCTTTTTGAATTTAAACAAGGTTTTGAGCAGCATAGCCATAGTAAGCGGAGCGGCATTTGTAGCCAGATTAGTCTGACCTTTCAGGTCCCCTTGCCCCTCGTTATGATGGGTGCCTCGTGGCCAACTTGGCTAAGGGTCACCTTTGGCATGACGAAAGGATGCGATCAAGGGGTCACTACCACTTATAGTTACTTGTAGATCTTCTACGTAACAATCCTCATTAGGAACTGGTATTCGGTCACCGTTTTGAGCCATCTCAGACGTGTTTACCCATAGACGGCGCCAAATATTAGCCTCTCGGTACGAACACCTGCAAAACCACCAACATTCTGTTTACAGGAATATTCGCCTCTGACAACCAAATTAGTAACCGGAAACGGAATAA